AAATATAAATTCAAATGTGTTTAAGAGAGAAAAATAGCGCAGTTTTTACCCATGTCTGAAGTTCACTTAATTTCAGCTCGGAGAGGGGGGGGGGTTGAAGCAGAAACTTCTTATACTAAGAAAATTGTGGGTGAATTTTCCTTAAATGAAATTTGTGAAATATCGAACAAAACTGTTCGATACGCTGTAAAACAGTAAAAGCCAATAATGAAACTTCTTGTTTTGGTAGCCTCAATAACTAAACATAGAGTGGGCCATAGCACTCTCCCCTCCCTCCCAATGAAGGAAAACGAAACTACAGGTAACATAACAAACTGCCTCATAATGAACTTTCAGCTGATATTTACGAGATCCCTCCCATGCAGTGGACGATTTGGTTCTGTGTGCTTGCTCGTATAAATATGACATGAAAAATTGCATAAAATTCAATCAAATTAGTATATTTAATTGGCGGTTTTTATGCCGAATATTATTGATCAATGCTTATTAAATATCAATATTTATATTTTCATCTTGTTTTAGCTCGAAAGTATCGGTAGAAGGTTTGTTAAAGTTCTAAAATATCATTACATCTGATTCCATTCATCATTAGTTGTCTTCGTTTCAGTCGACGAATCAAACAAACGCTTATAAACTATGATTTAGGCTAATCAGTTTCCAATAGCGTGAAAATACCCAATTCCGTCTGAGTTGAAAGGCTTCGTCCCTTGGCTATTCCCTCCCACAGTCTTGCCGACTTCTGGTGCCCAGCCGTTTATTAATCTCAGCCACTTTAATTAGCCAGGGTTGAAAGCTCTTAATTATAACTTAAAAGGTATGTCTCTTGTATTTATGGTATGTTTATACAAGGTTGTACACCTTATTATCAATTATGAGGGTATCTTTTTGCAGACAAAAATACTTTTTAATTTAACAGCCCTTGCAATTCAACCTTCTCATAATGGTAATCGCAACAAATAAAACATAACTTCTGACGGAATTATTTTCTTTCAGGTGCAAACTACCTAAGAAAAACAAAATACAGCATTCTAATGGTCATGATTACAAACAATTGTCTAACACCACCATTCCCAGTTAACTAGTTTCTGCGAGGTTAAGCATAGACTAGACATCTTGATAACTTTCTACAGTATTTCCACTTTATGTCCATTGGAGATATACAAGTGAACTTGCCAAGTGTATGGGATTGGTATATAAGTGAACAATGGCTGAAGTTATTGGAATTACAGCAATCCCATACACTTATATATCAATCCCATATACTTGGCAAGTTCACTTATATACCAATCCCATACACTTGGCAAGTTCACTTATATATCCATCCCTATACTTGGCTAGTTCACTTATATACCAATCCCATACACTTGGCAAGTTCACTTATATATCAATCCCATACACTTGGCAAGTTCACTTATATATCAATCCCATACACTTGGCAAGTTCACTTATATATCAATCCCATATACTTGGCAAGTTCACTTATATATCAATCCCATATACTTGGCAAGTTCACTTATATACCAATCCCATACACTTGGCAAGTTCACTTGTATATCCATCCCATATACTTGGCTACTTCTCAGGAAACAGCCGTTGATTTTGAGGTGTGGCTGGGAGTTTGTGTACTTTTGGCATGCAAGTCTTTGTCAACTTCAAATTCTTATTTATTATCTTGTTAACGGTACCAGGAGTCATGCCCAGCTTCATCGCAATGACGATTTGACTTATAGGTTTCTCCTTCGTAACGACGGCCTTCACTTTGTGGATTATGGCATTGGCTTAGGATGCGGTTTTGGAGCCAATAGCGATTTTAAACTCTCTGCTGCCTCTGTTTTTCTGCTTCCAGGGAAAACACTGAAGGTTCCCTTCGTCGAAACGGTGTGTCTTTTGGCTCTGCAGCGTTTAACAATCTCATTACTCGAATATCTTTCCTCAGAAAGGGCCGTTGTACGAGACTGCTATGACTAGTTTTGTCAGCCATCCTTTTCATGAGATCATAAGTTGATTTAAAGGTTTTACATATGTAGCCCGCGGTGCCATGGCTCGAGTCTGCGGCAAAATGCCACTGTATTAGCTTAGGCAAATATTTCTCATAAAGTTCAATTAACCCTCCGTAAATCACTTGGAATACTTGCTTTCTATTCGCTCGTACGGTAGATTAAAATTATTGTTCACACAGATGTCTACCTTCGTGGATGCTACATAGCTATGCGAAACTCTAATTCCCCATAAATTTCTACTTCAGTTACTATGCGTACGTGTATGAATGCGAGTTTTCATTATTTCATTAGTAAATATTAATAGATAGTTTTCCTTTTCAGTCCAGTGCAAAGACGATCTTTCATTCTTCTTAGTATATACCAGTATTAATTAGCCTGTATAATTCGGACACGTGATCAAAAAATGTTAGCGATCTGAAGGTATTATTATCAAATTTTAACAACTTCCTAACAAATTGACATAATGCTAATCCACTACTGCATTACATAAAATTCGTTAAAACATCCATTTAATTTTAGGAGTTTACAGAATTAACAGTTTACTGATTGTTCTTTGAAATACTTTAATCAGTAACTGACAATACCAAATGAAAAATAATTTTCAAAATAAAATTTCCTTTACTAGAGAAATATTGTATTATCCGAATATTATACTCAATACAAAAACAGCTAACAATTGAACATTTCAGATCACTTAGATATTACTTTCTTTCAAAAATTATATTTTGGGTATTCATTACTTTAATTTAAATTACGATAAATATGGCAAACATGAGATAATTTATTGAAAATACGAGCATACATTTTACTAAGCACATCTAAAGATCACTAATAGTGGAAATAAAAGGTAAAACTAACACTAACAGCCAGGTTGGGTTTGATTAATTAGAACCCAAAAATAAAAATCAACAGGTATCGGGCACCAGAACTGAAGAAATTCACCACTGCTGTTATTTCAAGGGTTCTGGGTGGGATTTAATCATGCATTAAAAATTTTAATGATTTCATATAATAGCTTGAAGCACTGTGACTAGAAGTGAAAAATATCCATATACAGTTTCAAACAGGCGAAAGCCTAATCAAAGTGTTCTAAAATGTTAAAACTAACAAAAGGAACATGAATCATAAATGAGGGTCTGATTTGACACTCAATGAAGAAATAAAAAACACACACCTCGAAACTGCTGTTTAGTTGTACTTTTATTGTTAAATAATAATTAATATATCATTTTACTTCGTATTGATATTTCAAACACCTTTACCTATGAGGTAACAACCAAACATTTCTCTTCTAATAAATATTATCATTTACAGATGACATTTTCAAGTGTACAATTTGATTATTTATAAAAAAGTTATTATACGTATTTCTTAGGCCTAAGATTGAAAATACAATTAAATTATAATTCTGTTTGAGAAAGCCAATATGAAACATAATGCTTAAACAAAACATGTACAGTAGAAATAGGGAATGGTACAGGTACTATATAACCAACAGAAGAGTACAGCTGTGAATTGTATGACACATAACATCTGCTGGAATAATACACAACACAACATCAGAAAGTTTTTGTAACAAGTCCGTAACCATGTATACTGAATTGTTTTATTTATACCTATTCACATAAGTTTCGAAGTTTCCCGGTTTGTAAATATTATTAATTTAAATTTTTGTTATTTCCCTGCCTCACGCTATCTAAAATAATTTATCACAAAAAGTCTAATAGTACTTCTCAAGATGAAACAGTGAAAGGCTTGATCCGTTAAAAAAAAATCGATTAAGCGATTTGAAACTACACACACACACACTGAGATCTGCCATCTGAGTGTGACGTCATCTATGAACAGCTGGATTACAGAAGTGTGTGCATGGTGACCAATACTGGCAGAGGTATGAATAATAAGCAAATCCTGATGGTTATTCAGTCTCCGAAATTCTTTTTCCTGAGAAAATTATTTATATTCAACTTCAGTTATACATCATAAGATGTTTTACTATGTGTGTGTGTGTCTTTTTTTGTTGTTCGCTATAGATACCCTACTGTATGAGGAGATTGGGTAAACAAAACTGTATTATTATTACTATTTGTTCTATAAGTATTCATAGTCCCCCAGTGGCACAGCGGACTTACAACGGTAAAAACCGGGTTTCGATACCCGTGGTGGGTAGAGCACAGATTGCCCAACGTGTAGCTTTCTGCTTAAACTAAAAACAAACAAGTATTCGAATGCAAATATTTTGCTAAAATAGATACTTTAAAATATTAACGTGTATGTAAAACATACAAATTGTGTTTTGTTTTCAAACATTTCTAAAATTTATGAATATTTGCCGAGTCCGTAAACTTACTTCTTTTGTGTGACATATCTCGGTTCACACCCAGATTGATTTATTTTTGTAGTATGACGATAGTAACGTTTGCGTGTATCCAGGAAAAGGTGATATAGCTCTGTCTCAGAATTTAGATTTTATTCAAATATTACATATTTTACTTGAAACTTGTATCAATACTGAAGGATTAATTATAACGGATTAAATAAAACAGGAGATTTTGTAACACAGAATACTTCTTTAAAAGGAATACCAAAGTCAGATTAAAATAACTAACAAGGATTTTTTCAGAAAAATACCCACATTTCATAATGGCGGGCCACCCTTACAATTTATAATTACAACATTACAAGTAAGTTTCGTTCATTTCTTTCTGAAAAGTATCTTACTGGTATTGCTATCACTGAGTATCAGTAAGAAACTACTTACTACAAACTACTATTTCTAATATATAGAGACGTTAATTAGTTATAATTTTTTAATCAAACACCGAAAACACGTCAGATGATATTGATAGAATGATAATAAATGCGTTAGTAGCATTTATCTTAACTAATTTTTACTCTATAAAAATAATGTGCTAAAGTTTGATTTCAAAAAGTGATACTGATTTACTATTATAACTTATGTGATGAAATTCTGAAAAAAATCGAGACTTCGATACTTACATAAATTAATCCGGAAAAATATCGATCCTTTAAGTTATGTAAGACGGAAGCTTCGTTCAAACAAGTAAGTTCGGCCATATCCTCAACTTTATTAAATTTTGGCGGATTCATTCTTTGGACATCGTCTTTGCTCACTACAAATCTTTTATTCGTTTCTACAATTTCTACTTCTAATTCTTCACCGCGGTCCTCCATGATACTGGCCGCTACAAACCCATGAACTTCGTGGGGCACCCATAACAGCTTCTTGGCTGCCCACTGGGCTTGAGCAGCAGGGTCACTGACGCCGATGTTTCGATCCACTACTAAGTATCTTAACTCAGGGTCACTACTTAAGTCAATAGCAGTCTGATCAGCCATGTTTTCAGATGTTTATATCAGAAGTTGGTGCACAGTTTTGGTAGTGACAGACGATCAAAAATGAGATTTATAGTATTGATAATATTTTTTGAAAGCTTGTTAGGCCTAATGCGCTTTACCTACGTTTCGAAGATTTGCAAATGAGAGAAAATCTATAAAGTTATCCAGAAAATCAGAATGATTCCTTTGAATAATTTGGCAGCTCTTTAAAAATCTACACTTACATAAAGAGTTACCTAACTGTAAAAAGCCGGTTAACTTAAAGCTGTACAAGTAGCGACTAACGTCCACGCGTTCTCGCCTAACCGTTGATTCCTCCAAAGCATCCTACCGGCTTGTTATTTTTCGTTGAGTCACGTGATAACAAGGCTCCACTGAAATATCCTTCTCCCCTCTTCCTTTCTATGAGTCATGCAGAAAATTATATACACAAACACATTCAGGTTCGACCTCGTTCTCAGGTGTACGAAATTATTCATTCTTTGACTGAGCTGATGACTTTTTTCGTTCATAAGTTTTGAAAGTTAAGATCATTCATTAGGTTATCATGTAATCACAACTAAAACTACAAAACTCTCGATATATACGTGTAAAGATCATCCAAATAACTAATTAGTAAGTTGTTGTTTGAATTAATAAGACATTTGTTTTTTCATTAGATTAATAATCTGACCTAATTAAGCTTAATATTTTGATAACATGGCTTATAATTATTATATATTTAGGCTCTAATGTAACTAGCTCTACATTTACACTTGAATTGGGCTAATAAATACAAAGGAAATATTTATTTGTAATACCGTACATTGCATTAGTATTAATGATTCTGCTTTATTCGTTGTTATCTTATAATCATTTAGCGCTAATCATAACATTTTCATGTATAACTCTGAAAAAAAAAAGTTGTTTGAATTAAAATATCCTTCTTTCGTAAAAACTTAACCCAGAATAAAGCTATGCCAAATTCAGCACAACCCTACTTTATAAAAAACGTCTCTAAGGCGAGTTTGTTGAATAACAAAGCAACATCTAAGTTAACCCTTGTTTAGGTAATCGTCAGGACATACGATTTAGTAGTAGCAGCTGTATTATAGTTCAGGTTATGATGCAATAGTGTGTGTGTCGTTTAGGGTGGCGCCATATCCTGAACACAAGTTACGAAACCGGAAGTTGAGATCCTAAGGAAGAGAAATTAAGGGAAAGGGCAGGTGCTATATTAGATTAAAAGTATAACAAAAACGTATATGACATGCCATCCACTATCTAGTTCTATTTACATACATAATAACGTTAGAGTATTTGTAAGCTTTTAAATGTTAAGATTATTTTAAAAATAAGAATTTCACAGATTTACACGAAGACTAAATACCAAATTCTGTTTATATTGCTAAATATATCATTGTGATATATTAGGCTAATGTTATAGAAGGTGGTTATCTTATATACAATAAACAGCATCTGTCTTTAATTTGACATGTTTTTCTCGTGTTATTAAAGCTCGTGCTTAATTTCAAAAGTACTGAGATTGCTGAGGAAAACTGACGAAATACAAGTCAAAATGTCTGGCGCCAATCTTTTTCTTTTTTTGGTTAGATAAAGTTTCACTAACTGCAAGGCTTGGTATTTATAAGAAATGTTTACTGTTTCAGTAAAATACTAATTAAAACTGAGTATTTTCATTTAACAGATCCTCAGACTCTGTACGAAAAGAATGTGAATTTTATCTTTTTCATTTTATACTGTCGCCATCTAGTGAGCAATATTGATAAGTATCGAAATATACTATGAGGCAGTTTGATAACTATAAGGTAACGATAAGGACAATGTTATGAAAATTGTTATTATATTGCTCCACTTTCATATTCTAAAAAGGGTACAAAACCCTCCAACTGATGTCATGGCTCCCAAGGGAACCAATTACTTTCTCAGAAATGATGTTGAAATGCCATAAACTTTAAACACTGAAGTTCTTCCGTTAAGTCAGCTGTAAGTTTACGGAATTAAAGCTAATATCCGGGGTTCAATTTCCGCATGGTGGACAAAGCGCAGATAGCTAACTGTGTAGCTTTGCACTAAATATCAACAACAAAATCTTCTGATATTTAAGTATTAGTTATAAAATATTGTAGTGAAATTTGTGTAAATTAAGCTTGTAGTGCATATAGTTACATGTCTCTATTTCTTTATTAAGTCATTACATTTATCTTGAACTTCAATTTTGCGGCGACCCTTTAGTTTTTGTATTAATTGTTTTCTGGCTGTGGTAATCATTGGCAAAGTTAGACTAGGGCTTGAATAGAGTCAGCCCCTCCAAAATCCCAAACAAACTCTGTCGCGATTCCGCAGCTGTGATCTCCAATGCGAAAAAAAAAAAAGACAATTGTCCCCCTCCTAACACAAGTCCAGGAATCGGAAAAAGAAATGTCTGCTACAGTATTTTGTTGGTTTTGGTCTGAAACTGAGGAAAATGGCTTAAAAGTTTCATTTTCTTGAAGACCGAATCTTCGGATTTACAGTTAAAACGTGTTGTTTACTCATCCACAGTGAGTTCATATTTTAATATATCTTAAACTTCAGTTCAAACGGTGATCTCAAAATGAAAGTACAATTCTAAAAATGAAATAAAGAAATAAAGAATCGTAATCTGAAATTATACAAACTATACCGATTCGCAACTTGTTTTTGCAAAAACACGCTCCGCACTTTGGGACCATCGGGTGTTATGACAATTACGGTCAAATTCCATTATTTAGTCAGAGAATAGTAGCCCGAGAATTGTTGACTAGCTGTTTTCCCTCGCCTCTTTCGGTTCATAATTAGAGACGACTATGCACGTATAGCCCTTGTTTATGTTTGCGTGAAAATTACAAAACAAAATAACAATCAGTCGTACGAATTCAAGGCTGAAGCAGTGTGTTGCAGGTACCATTCAAACCCAACTATCAGGATCCTCTTCTCCCTTGCCCTACACGGCAAACATATGGATGGATGCTTGTATTCAAGAGAACGTAAGCTGCACAGGCAGAACTTCCTCTTGGAGTTCCCCTCACCATGAACAGGAATCCATATCAAGTGCCTTCAAAAACTAAATCTCTCAACGAACTTCAGCAGAACATAAAAGTGTATTGAACATGTTCATAAACTGAAACCATATATATATCCTTGATGGGCTTCTCGTTTATTAGTAGGGCCAGAGGTCAGAAGAGGAAGGGATTGTTAATTCATAAAATACCACTGTGTTTAACTGTCGTAATCCAAATGTTTTATTAGGAGTCTGAAGTTGTGAGCACTTCCGTGACTCTTCAAAATCATTTGGAGAAAGATGAGTTGATTATGAAATATCTCTCTTGTTCACGAGACCGGCCTTGGGAACGACATCACCTCTAAATTGATATGACTGGGGCAAAAACTATTTAGCAGCCAAGATAACAATAGGATTTTAAGAGGGAAAGAGTGACTTTTAGATCTTAAAAGCCAAAGCAAATTTTCATTTTTTATTTTCAGAGTTCTTGATTGGAGTTTATTTTCAAAGTAAACCCCTTGATCATAATAACTAGGACAGATGTTGAGTTTGATATCGTACGTAAAACATAAGAGGCTGGATTAGCTGATAATAATTGTTGGGATATGCAATTTATATAAAAGTTGGAAATGTTTGCAACACTTACTTTCGGGGCAGTGAGGTAGAATTCTTTGATGAAGAATGGAAGTTGTTTAGAAGAGATCCCATCAGAGGTTATTTGTATACACGTGTGTGCGATTATATATATATCGAAATCGCTCGGGTTATAGGGTTTTTATTCATTTCTATCAAGACTTCTTGAACCTACGTGTTTTTCTAACATCATGTATATATATATATATATATGGGTATGAAAGACATGAAAACATCTTTCATGTGTATACAGAAAGAATGTTCCTCCCAAACAGTGCAAAAAATGATACAGATTGTGTCTATCGCAGTGAAAAAGTGTCAGCTCTTTAAAAGTTTGATGCGTGTATTTTCTTATAATGCTAGCTTTAATGAGCTTTCTAACCAATAGATGGCAGGAAAGTAGAAGACAGTGCTGCTACATTTGTTGATAGCAACCAAGAAAAATAAAGGTACTTTGTTGCTTCCTATTTTATAACTCTTTTTACTTGCCATACACTGATGTGTGTATATAATGATATACATTGTAGTTCACAACAAGAATGGTGATCCAGGCTATGTGCATTGTGGTCGAAATATTTTAGTCTTGCTGGATTTCACATGCAATTATTTTATCATGATATCAGTCAAGTTGGGTTTCTGATTCATAGATGGTTGTGTAATACTTGAAGACATGGTTACAGGTGTTGGTAGCTGGTAATCTACTTTCACTTGTTGCATGGTGAGTGAAATAATTTTATTGTGATTTGGCATTAAATTATCCTTTTAGTTGGACCAGCCAGCCATAAAGGAACTAGTGGAGGAAGACCTGCCAGGAATGAAGTCTCCCAGCCCCAAAACACCACCAGTATCTGTGAAACACCTATATCCACTCTATTTAATATTATGCAAAATAGAAAGAAGCAGAAAAAAGGCCACTGGAGTGCAGCAACAAATTCCACGTGAGCAAGGTAGTTTAGACACACGAAGGACGAATTGAAGAAAATGTCAAAGACTTGGCAAAGCCCACTTCACAAGATGTCAGCCAAAGTTTGTCATTCTTGAAGTGCTCTGAATGACGAGTTCTAAACTCGACGTTTTAATGACATATTTTCTCCAAGTATTATTGCAAATCCTTTCTTATCTTTGCAATGATGTTAGGTTTAGTGCATTTTCTAGACTAAAGTAGATTTTTCTGTGGCGTACTTTCTATTTTAAAGGGCATTTTTAAATTGCATATTATAATAACCAAGGAGTTGCTATTGTCACGTTACCGTTTTCTTGTATTTTAACTGCATTATTAGTTTTGATTATTATGTGGTATATTGTAGTTAGCTTTACTCTAAAATTTCAAACTTCGTAACTTTCCACCTGTCGCACTTATTTTGAATTATTTTATTTGTATTAAAGGTTAAAGGTTACGATTCAGTTGCATCAGGATGGGTTGCAATTGACATTTTAATTTGGTTTTTAATGTTAAAAGTAAGATTGGCTGAGAATAGCAAAAATAAGAGAACGGGAGATATTTGTGATATGCAGATATCATAAATTAAACCACCATATACTCTAAAGACTTGAATGTATCTTCATTCATACAATCCTTCATAATTTAGTACAAAATAACAAGATTTAAATGTAAAAGATGTGGTGGGCCTGGAACTGTTCTTATTATGCTCTTA